ACTGTGAAGCATATAAAAACTATTTTAACCAGGTAGAAAATACATAGCCACACATATTATTATGGGGCATATTATTACTTAGGGCATATTATTATCCAGCTCAATGCCTTGGGGTAGAAGTCTAATAAAAATAAATTGAAATTAATGACTACCTGCATTTTCAAGCTGATCATAGGTTGCTTTGGCACAGAATACCTTTTTCATTGTCCTCTGCATCCCCAATCTTCCCACGTGAAAGTTCAAGGTTATTCTGATCTACTTTATTTGTAGTCCAGCTTTATTTCCAAACTCTCAGGTGGATTCATCCGACACTCCTAGGTGACTTACCTTCCATGAGCACCAGGACAACATCTCGGAGGATGCTCAAAGTTGTTGCAAGGACCAGGATGGAAAACAAGAAAGTGCAAATGGGATCCACATATTTGTATTCTGGCTGGAAGGATAAAAGTGTCGATAATGAGTTGTCTCTCACTTTATGTACTGAATCCCTCTTCTGCAATACACCAGGATTTGCTCTACCGTAAGACACAGGGAATCAGTCACCTCATGCATTACATACTAGGGGTCAAAAGCAATGACAGTTTCCACCTTTCAACTGTTTTGATTTGGCAGAGACAGTCCCAGTTAATCCTTCACCATCCCACTTTTTCAGCTGCTTTTAAAATGTCCTAGTTTCTTTCTCTTCTTCCCCCTTCATCCTCAGCTCACTCCAATTGCTGCAAAATGAGTTCAAAGTGCAACAGCAGTTTATACTCAGTTAACTCAGTGGGAAGACAGGAGAGGAAGAGGTGGAATATTGTAATTCCTGGTACTGAGGCAAAAGCAAGCTACTGCAGCCACTCATAGCTTGCTTGTTCCAGTCTTAATCACACCCTCATGCTGCTCTATCACATTTGTCCTGCTTTTCATCTGTGAAATGTTGAAGGGCATGAGCTTCCTAGTCGTTTCACCTGTATTCCCCAACTGAAGGCACAACAACCCAGCCTCAGCATACAGAAAAGGCACTGTCCCGTTCTCAGTACAGAAGTTGCCTTTTGACTCAACTTCTCAATGTGGAGCAAAGATAGGATGTCCTCCTGTCATAAAGTGACATCACAGAAGGAACAACTTTATCCTCTTTTAAAGTAGCAATAGCAATAGCAGCTTCATTTATATACCACTTTATACCGCACTATGCAGTCTCTAAGCGGTCTACAATGTGTAAGCCAACTGCACCCAACAAGCTGGGTACTCATTTTAGCAACCTCAGAAGGATGCAAGCCTGAGTCGAGCCTGAGCCCCTGGCTGGTATTGAACTCGCAACCTTGTGGTTTTGTGAATGTAAGGTACTACAGCACCGGCATTTAACCATGCGCCACCAGGGCTCTAAAGTACAATTGTAATGCAACGTTACATCTTTGTTACTGGAGAAATGAGTGTATTACAAATAAGTTATTTGTAGTAGTGACTCCCTAGTTCTGAGAATTATAACAATGGCCATGTCCTCATATCATCTGGGGGAGCCAACTTTATCTTGGAGTTAGAATTACACCCCAATTGTGTCCTTACTTTGAAATAAATGATGTAGGCTGTTATCAAGACTCCAATGCTCTGTAGAAGATCTCCAACTACGTGGATGAAGGCGGCTCGGACGCTGGTGTTCTGTCTCCCCTCCCCATGACTGTGATGGCTGTGACCATGTCCTGACTGGTGGAGGGCAATTCCCATTCTAGACGAAGAGACAAAGAGAGATTGGGAAAGGTTACCAAAGGGAAACCACAGAAATCCTCAGCTCCTCTTGCATTCTGTACACCCTGAGATGAGACAATCCCAGGCCATTCTGCATCAATTAGAAAGCTGGGCTAAAGCTAACAAAATGAATTTCAACACAGACAAATGTAAGGTACTGCATTTAGGTAAAAAAAAAAATGAAATGCACAGATATAAGATGGGGGACACCTGGCTTAACGCACCTACATGTGAAAGGGATCTAGGAGTCCTAGTAGACAACAAGCTGATGCAACAGTGTGATGCAGCAGCTAAAAAGGCCAATGCAATTTTAGGCTACATTAATAGAAGTATAGGATCTAGATCAAGGAAAGTAACAGTGCCACTGTATTCTGCTTTGGTCAGGCCTCACCTGGAATAATCCTGTGTCCAGTTCTGGGCACCACAATTAAAAAAAGATGTTGAAGAACTGGAGCATGTCCAGAGGGGGGCGACTAAAATGGTGAAGGGTCTGGAAACCATGCCCTATGAGGAACAACTTAGGGAACTGGGTATGTTTAGCCTGGAGAAGAGACCGTTAAGAGGGGATATGATAGACCTGTTTAAATATTTGAAGGGATTTCATATTGAGGATGGAGCAAGCTTGTTCTATGCTGCTCCAGAGAACAGGACACAGAACAACGGATGCAAGCTCCAGGAAAAGCAATTCCACCTCAACATTAGGAGGAACTTTCTGACACTGAGAGCTGTTCGACAGCGGAACACACTCCCTCGAAGAGTGATGGAGTCTTCTTCTTTGGAGGTCTTTAAACAGAGGCTTGATGGCCATCTGTCGAGGTTGCTTTGATTTTGAGTTCCTGCATGGCAGAATGGGGTTGGACTGGATGGCCTTTGTAGTCTCCTCCAACTCTATGATTCTAATTCCCAGAAGGATGATACAGAAAGCTGAGATATGGAGCCCACCGCTGCAACTTTCATGACAACAGTTTGCTGTGTCCCCATCTATTGGAAATTTCCAGTTTAAGAACCTTCCCTAGGCCATCGTTCAAAGTTATTTTGAACTTCCATCACAGTGGTGTTGTACAAGACTTCACAGGGTGGAATCGCAAGGACTTTTTGTCGACAGCATGGATAACATCATCTGCCACCACTTCCTCAGTTGCCCTGTCTAGCTGTGAGCTTAGAGACAATACACACAGTAGCAGAAGGAAAACAGTTCATCCCAACAACAATATATTGTTGTGAGTCATCCCTGTTGTAAAAAGCTACAGATCCACAAAAATGCCATAGGAGAGAGACTGCTACCTCATTCATAGGGCAAGATGCAGAGGACTGATGACAGTAACTGAAGGGGGGGAAAAAACATGGTCTGATTCCCTTCAGAGACACAGAATGAAGACATTTAGGGGCAAAGCATTTTGGGCAGCTTGGTCTTGAGTTGATAATTAAGACCCATTAGTTTTGTGAAAGACTCGCTCCTAGTGGTATGAATAGTACTAAAACTTATTTGTTGACATGGATCGCCTGAGCTGCTGGCATGTCTGGACTCTCTTGAGGGCATAGCTATAGGAACTGTCATCCTGAGCCCTTGAAATTCAACATCTAGTGGTTCATACATACATGATGTTCACTGCCACGGCACAACCAGAGGTGATCAGCATGGCATTCCCTTCTATTTCGTAGTCGCCAGAGAGGAGCCGTTGCACGGCTAAGTAGACCAAGACACCAGTCACCACCCAGATAGACAGCACAGACAAGAGAGCTCCCAAGATTTCTGCAAAGTCAAGAACATTGGGTTGGGTGTCAGAGGCTGAAATAGCAGGTACTGTCTGACAGAATAATATAAAGTGCATTTATTCCTGGGCTCCCAGGTGTCCTGTTTTATATGGGATGTCCCCTATTTGGAAACTTAAAATATGCTTTATAGCTAATGTCCTGTATAAAACTCCCCATATTCCCTGGGATGAGAGCTAGCATGGTATAGTGGTTTGAGCACTGGACTACGACTTTGGACACCAGGGTTCAAATCCCCGCTCCAACGGAAATACTCACTGGGTGACCTTGGGCAAGTCACACCCTCTCAGCCTCAGAGGATGGCGATAGCAATGGCAAGCCCCCTCTGAAGAAACTTGCCAAGAAAATCCTATGATAGGCTTGCCTTAGGTGCTTGGAGGCACACAACAACAAATTCCTTATCTCATGATGGCTGATCTGCAACCATGAGATCTGTATGAATGTTAAGGTTTCTGTGACATCTGAGATCACCTAATATAGGCCTGTCTCACATGCTTTCAGCCATTCTTGTTTCATTGGGCCAGATCTGCTAGTTTGTGTATTTGTGCGTCTGTTGACTAATGGCGACCCCATACATTTCAAAGGGTTTTCTTAGACAAGGAATACTCAGAGGTGGTTTTGCCAGTTCCTTCCTCTTAAATGTAGCCTACAGCACTTGGTATTCATTGGCAATCTCCCATCCAAGTACAAAGGAGGGCAGATCCTGTTCAGCTTCCAAGATCAGATGGATCTGGTGCCTTTGGGGTATTTAGACTCATAGTACTAAAAGAAAATATAGGAATAAACTGAAGACAAATAAACAAAAGCCCAATTTATTAGATAAGTTTATACATATTTATATTATATATACCCACCCACCCACCCATCTGTATGTATATGTATATGTATATGTGTGTGTGTGTGAGAGAGAGAGAGAGAGAGAGAGAGAGCGCTCAGGCATACAATACAAGTCATTTTTGACTTACAGCAACCCTAAGGTGACCCTATCATAGGGTTTTCTTGGCAGGTTTCTTCAGAGGCTGAGAGAGTGTGACTTGCCCAAGGTCACCCAGTGGGTTTCCATGGCCAAGCTGGGACTCAAACCCTGGTCTCCCACGGCCCTAGTCCAATGCTCAGACCATTACACCACGCTGGCCACTTTGCCCAGCCCAACATAAATATTTTAAAGAAATCAATCATAGCAGTAAGTTTGCAAAGCTTAAATTACCTGCGCGGTGCCAGCCAAAATTCATGGTTTTGGTAGGAGGCCGTGATGACATCCAGAGAGAGAAAAGGCTGATCATCATGCTGGCAAAGTCAGTCAAGAGATGGGCAGCATCTGTCATGATGGCCAAGCTATGGGCAATGTATCCCCCTGGGAAGAATGCAATGGGCACAGAGAAAAATGACAAAAAGCAAAGGGACCGCACAGCAGTGCAGCATTTATCCCCTTCTTGTGTCAAGAATATCCACCAAAGACTATAGGATTCGTAAAGCACATGGTTCTAGCCTAGCCTTTTACTTGCTATGCTAGATTTCTACACACACAAAGTCTAAAAATCAATCAAAATCAGATTGCTTTTGTTGTTGTTTTATATTTACATCTTGCCATTTTGCAAAACTCAAGACATCTTACTATTTAAAACAAGGACAATACACCTAAAAACATACATTAAACTATTCACAGCTTTAAAATAATGAAAAACACTTATAGGTTCAGTCTTCCTTATCTGGAATTCCATAATCTGAAATTTTCCAAAATCATCCACTTGGCTGGCTGAGCTACTGACACCGTTGCTTTCTGAAGGTTCAATCTACACAAAATTTGTTTCATGCATAAAATCGTTAAAATATTGAGTACAAAATTACCTTCAGGCTATGTGCAGAAGGTGTATACAAAAAACAAATTCATTTCATGATTAAACTTGGGTCTCATCTCCAAGGTATCTCATTATGTATAGATGAATATTCCCAAATCCAAAAAGATCCAAAATCCAAAGCATTTTGGATAAGGGAGCTTCAACCTGTATCAAGTATGCAAGACCTACTACGTTTCTTTCAGTACATATCAAGAATCCTTGCCTGAGATGGGCCAGTATGGTAAAGAGAAAGGCTTTAGCCAAGTCCTCTCCCTGCCACACTAGATTTCTACATGCGTGGAATTTTTAAAATAGAAACCAAGGAGCTAAGTAGGTGACACACACGTTCACCAGGGTTTGCAATGCTAGGAAGGGTGTACCATGTAGTATCTTGTTCAATCTGTATCTAAATGCTGAGCAATGTGAGGAGAACCCCAGGCTCTGCTCCGAAGCTCAGTCTGATAGCAGAGAGTCAGGAAACAGTGCTAGTGTGAAGAGTCTTACCCACAACTTCCCCGGTCATGAAGACCAGGCAGATGACAGAGGCAAGATACAGCTTCCTTCGAGCTTTCTCTTTCTCCGCATCATAGCAGTTGCTCGAGGCCCAGCTGGAATGGCAATGCAAGTGCCCCGTCAGGTTCAGCTCGATGGAGGTGAGGTCTCGAACGTAGCCGACCACAGAGCCGTTGCAGTTCTTCCCAGGGATTCCTAAATAAGACCTGCATCACAAAAGGGCAGCTTTAAAAAATGAAGAAAACATATTCAGAGGTAGCTGCGTTGGCCATATAACAAAGTACAAGAACATCCCAAATCCTCAAAACAGGGATACCTTTATGGGGCCAACCAAAATGCACAAGATGCAAACTTTTGAAGCTCCACTGGCTTCTTTATCAGGCGATGGTGTTAAGAACTATTTTTTACTGTTGTTGTTAACTGCCTTTGCGTCAATCTCAACCCATGGTGACCCAATGGATGAGACATCTCCAGGCCCC